CTCTCTCTCCCCCCTCTCCCCCCACCCCCCACCTAACACAGGCATGAGCATCTGTTGTCCTCTCCCTAAGTTAGTGGGTTCGTCAGTCCATTTGCCTGCCCACGCGCCCACCTGCTCCTCTGCGTGCTTGGCCGCATGCTTCCCCCCCCCTTCACCTGCACACCCACCCGTCCATTTTGGTGGGAACCTATCTCTTGATTGCTCTGCTTTTTCTGGGCTGTTCCCCATTCCTTCTTCGGGTTTTTGGACTGTGCTATTTCATTCTGTTCCCCACAGTCATTGCATGCCAAGTCTGGTTCTCGGTTCTTGCTGTGCTGTTGAAGGTCTTGCTCACCAGCTCTTCCAGAGACTCGGTAGATACTATCTGGATAGCGCATATATATATTGTTTAGCTCCTTTCTATTGGTGGGGACCAAGCACCTGCTGTGGAAATCGGGTCAGCGTCCTAATTGACAGATAGAAACCCACTCAGAAACGCTTCCCCACGTTACGGCCCAGAAAACCCTGATAGTACTGATTGCTTCCTTCCAGAAGGGTTTTAACTGCCAGTTGAGCCCACACCTTTTCCCAGCCCTCATCCTACCGTTTTAGTACAAAAAAACATTCCCAGAAAAAAACAGCCCCTATTTTTTTCTTCCTACATTACCGTCGTCTTCACTCTAATAGAATGCCCGGTAATTATCGCCGTATATGGACTTGAAATTGCACCAAATGCAGCTATAATGACTGGGCGTTCTATTCGGGTGAAGACAGTAATCCTATCCTAGCAATACTAGGAACAAGAGGTGCAGCACGCCTATGACTTTCCTGTCCTTCCACCCCATCTCTATCTTGCTCCACAGGGCCTGCCATTGTGGGCCCTCAGTATCTGTTATATTGATGTCTTCTTCTTTCCAGATCCACGATGATCTTTAAACCGCCAGTACTACATGACCCCAGGCAACTGGAGAACCTGTTTCGAGCCTCTCCGGAAATTTAGTAGGCTGAGCAGAAACTCGGAGGGGCCGCCGTTGAAAACAAAAAATTGGCGGCCTCCAAAGTGGTGCGGGTGTCTTGCTGACACCTGCGGGCCGATGTGTGGTGTACTGGTGCTTTAAGTAAGCCAGTCCTCAGCAGGAATCTGCTCCTCCATCAGGCACTCATCCTGCGCATTCCTTGCTGGTTCAGAATTTTGCCAATCTTTCCATCGTAGCTTTTGTCCTGCAATGATGACTCTTTTTTCCTAAGCCAGGCAGATACGGCTGAACTTTGCGCTAGTTTCTTGCTCTCTGTCCGGTTGTCGTTGTATTAAACTCCCTCTTGCTCTCTGTCTGGTTGTCGTTGTATCAACGCCCTTGCTTGTCTCCACATGCAACTTATCTCTACTTCGATAAGGTCTTTGGCAGCCGCCCACACCTTTTCTTTTGGGTTTCTCGTCCTGTCCAACGTGATGCCGCCTCTCTTCGCCCACAGATCACTCACACGTCGCCTTCCTCCTGATCGTCCCGTACCACAGTCTCTCTGGCTTGCGCATTTCCAAGGGCATGTTAGTCGAGAATAAGATCTGACTAGGTTGCTCAGGTAAGGGGGAACTGAAGAGGCGTGACCATAGATCGCCCGCTCGTGCTCCGGTATTCAGTGGCCTCTTTGCATCCGATCATGCAATGGCCGATATCTTGTTTTTGCTAAAGAAAAGATGAGCATGCTATACACACCTAAGAGCTAATGGGGTCATTCCTTCTTCTTCTTCTTCTTCTTCTATGCCACCATTGGTCGATTGGGAGGGCGGCATATGCTTATATCACCCACCGAAGACTCGTAATCTTGACCAGTCTTATTGCTTTGAATTTGCGCCATGGGTTTTTTGTCACCCAAGTGATTCCTGCCCTCCCTATTTTTGACTATCTTTTTCCCACTTCCCGAGAGCTCCTCTCGTATAGTGCAAAGAAGTTCGTTTTGAAGGGAGTGAATGATTCAGTATGCTGGGGCACATGCTTTGGTATGTGGAAATCGCTGGTTCATTGGGTGGCAAGGGTAGGGGGGTTGGGGGGGGTCCACCACTGTCTCAACCCGAGGGAAAAAAAAAAGGTACGTACGCTATACTCAACTTACCTCGAGCAAACAGGCTCTCGAAATCGCGGATTCTTGTTTCGAATAAGAGTGTACAGTCTAAAACAACGTACGAATACAACATACGGACATTGTGTTTGATCAATCTAAAGCAATTATTTTAGGACCTCTTCTGGGAGATTGTTCACTCAAAATATTCAATAAGAATGCAAGATTCTTTACCAGATTTGAGAAAAAGAACAAAAACGACGTTCGTACTACAGGCTCCTGCAAAGTTATACCCTAAAACGTGTTGTATGACATACGTACGTTGTATAATTGTATTCGAATACAGTGTACCTTGTAAGTTAAGTTTTTTTTGGGGATAAACCACTAGTACCTTTTGTCGTTTTGGAAAATAGGGGGCCTCCTGTCCGACCTTTCAGGAGGCCGAAACGAAACGATGACAGCCGATTAGATTTATCAATGACATCCGTCATCATCAGGCCCGTCATCATCAGGCCCGTCCTCCGAATTCTTCGGGAACGGGCGTTTTCCCTTATTTCTGAAGCGGCAAAGGTACCAGTGGTTTAAGCCAGTGGTAGCTCTGACACGTCATGCACCCTTTGCCACCTCTTCTGAGTCATCGAACCAGAAGAAGCAGTGGAGTATCTATCTTCTGCCTTGAGTACCATGACAACCCTTGGACATCTCTACTTTCTGTCCTTTATTGGCTGCAGTTGATTCTGTTTTTTGACCATTCATTCACTTGCGATAGATCAGACGCGAAGCATCCGCTCAA